GGCCCATTAAAAAATATTTTAGGTTGGGTGTGGTAGCTCACACCTGTAATCCCAGCACTTTGGGAGGCCAAGACAGACGGATCACTTGAGACCAGCCTCGCAACAAGGTGAAACCCTGTTTCTGCCAAAAATACAAAAAATTAGCGAGGCATGGTGGCATGCGCCTGTGGTCCCAGCTACTTGAGAGGTTGATGTGGGAGGATCACTTGAGCCCAGGAGGTCAAGGTTGCAGACAGTCGAGATTCCACCACTGTACTCCAACCTGGGTGACAGAGCAAGATTACTTTTTCAAAGTAGCTTTTTAAATTATTAAACAACTGTATTATAAAACATTTAGAAAATGAAAGGAGGAAATCACCCATGTTTTTATTCTATTATTTTTCCTGAGATAGATGTAATACAGGCATGAACCACCACACCTGGCCTTTAATACATTCTTGATGCATAACCACTCTGGAAGAATCCTAGCAATCTTTAAAATGGTTCTAAGATCCATATATCCAATCACAGCAACTATCTTTGAGAAACTCACAGAAGTGCAAAAAGACTAATGAATTAGTATGTTACTGCAGCACTATCGGTTACTGTGAAAAACTTGAACCTACCAAATGTTTGTAACAGAATAATTTCTATATATTCACAAGAGAAGAGAAAAATGCTAGAGCTACATACATCTACATATACAGGAATGCCTAAAATTTTACATAGGAATGTCTCTTGCAACATATACTGACATGTATGTGGAAATTCTCTTCAACTTTCAGACACACACTATATAAAGTTTTAAGGGCTGTGAACGGTGGCTCATGCCTGTAATTCCAGCACTTTAGGAGGACAAGGCAAGCAGATCACAAGGTCAAGAATTCAAGACCATCCTGGCCGTCATGGTGAAACTCCATCTCTAATAAAAATACAAAAATTGGCTGGGAGTGGCAGCAGGCACCTGTGGTACCAGCTACTTGGGAAGCTGTGGCAAAGAGATTTGCTTGAACCCAGGAGGCGGAGGTTGCAGTGAGCCAAGACCGTGCCACTGAACTCCAGCCTGATGACAGAGCGAAGCTCCATCTCAGGGAAAAAAAAAAGTTTTAAAACATGCAAAATAGTACTATATAATATGATATTATTATTATTATTATTTTTTTTTTTTTTTGAGACGGAGTTTCACTCTTGTTACCCAGGCTGGAGTGCAATGGCGAAATCTCGGCTCACCGCAACCTCCGCCTCCTGGGTTCAGGCAATTCTCCTGCCTCAGCCTCCTGAGTAGCTGGGATTACAGGCACGCGCCACCATGCCCAGCTAATTTTTTGTATTTTTAGTAGAGACGGGGTTTCACCATGTTGACCAGGATGGTCTCGATCTCTTGACCTCGTGATCCACCTGCCTCGGCCTCCCAAAGTACTGGGATTACAGGCGTGAGCCACTGCGCCCAGCCTTATAATGTGATATTATTTATGTACATAAATATTACAGTAAACCTGATTTTAAAAAAGTTTTAAAACATGCAAAATAGTATTACATGTGATATGATTTATGTAAATAAATATTATAGTAAGCATGATAAACACCCAATTTTATTATAGTAAGCATGATAAATACCCAATTTAGCATAGTAACTTCCTGAGAAAAAAGAAAAAGGAATGGGGAAGGGGCATTTATTTGAAATTTTTTGTCATATACATAATCTCTTTTCAAATTAAATGCAAAGTCTTGTTAAGTTAGGATTTCATTTAGTGTAGGATCAATAAGCAATAGAAGCACAAAAAAAAAAGCTTATTGAAAATAACAGCAAATAAGATGTTAAAGTCTAATAAAGTTGGGAGATAGGTACCTGGGTGCCTATTATATCATGTGCCATACTTTCTGTATGTGCTTGAAATATTTCACAACAAAAACATGAGAAACAAATATTTGGGCTAAAAAAACAAACACAATTTCAGCTCTCTGATTATTCTGTCATCAAACTTCAAATCCTTTTAATGAATGAGATTATGCACAGCAGCCCACAAAAGGAAAACTGTTTTCCAGGCCATAGCAGCTCATCACTATATTTGCTTAGAGTTAAAGAAATGAAGCTAAAGGCAACGTTTGACCTCTGGAATGAGAAAAGCTTTAGCTGTTTTCTTCTATTTGAACACTAACAATATAGAACTGTAATGGTACTCGAAGTTAAACAAGAAAGTCAACTAAGTGACTAAGACTTGGTTAGTCAGATCTAGAATTATTTCAGTTTGATTATACTTCTGGTAGGGTAACTGACTTGATCCTATTGCTCAGGACTGTCCCAATTTTAAAACTGAAAGTCCTGTGTTCTAGAACCTCTAGTGTCAGACAAACTGGGACAACTGGCCATCCTAGCTTCTGGGCACATAAAAACTTTCCAGCTGGGAAAAAATTTTGAAATTATCTAGTAAATTATCTAATTTTACTGATGGGAAAAGTGAAGGATCCTAAGTCTTCAGAGTGTAAAAGGAACTTCTAGGCCATTTAGTGCTCTAGTTCAACTGCTGAATTCACAGACTAATCCTCTGCAGAACTTACTAGAGTGGCCTTCCAGCCTTTTGTGACTGTTTGTAGTGAAAAGTACACACAAGCCTACAAGGCAGCCCATTGTCTTTCAGATGTAACGTAACTGTGGGAAAATTAAAAAAAAAAACAAAAACAAAAACAAAGTCTCTCTGTGTTGCCCATGCTGGACTCAAACTCCCAGACTCAAGCAATCCTCCTACCTCAGCCTCCTGAGTAGCTGGGACTACAGGCATGCATCACCATGCCAGGCTACGAGAAAGTTCTTTTCATTGATCCAGATCTTATTGCCTGGTAGCTTCCACCACTATTCCTAGCTCTGCTTTCTGCTTCCACCACTGTTCCTAGCTCTGTTCTCTGGTCCTAACAGAGGAAAATCTGACTCCACACCCAGTATAACTGGATAGATTATGGTTGGCCTTGTGTTTTCCTCTATTCTGGTTACACCTCTAAGAATCCTACAGATACTCCAACCTTCTCATAGGACATCCATGCAATCTGGTCTGCTTTCCCTTTCTTTCTTTCTTTCTTTTCTTTCCCTCCCTTCTTCCTTCCCTTTCCTCCCTCCCTTCCTTACTTTTTCTTTCTTTTTTTTTTTTAAAGGTGGGGTTTCACCATGATGGCTAGGCTGGTCTTGAACTCCTGACCTCAGGTGATCCACCCACCTCGGCCTCCCAAAGTGTTAGGATTACAGGCGTGAGCCACATCACCCGGCCACTTTTTCTTTCTTTGAGATGAAGTTTTGCTCATCACCCAGGCTGGAGTGCAATGGCATGACCTTAGCTCACTGCAACCTCTACCTCCTGGGTTCAAGTGAGTCTCCTGCCTCAGCCTTCTGAGTAGCTGGGATTACAGGCACCCGCCACCAAGCCTGGATAATTTTTGTATTTTTAGTAGAGACAGGGTTTCACCATGTTGGCCAGGGTAGCCTTGAACTCTTGACCTCAGGTAATCCACCCACCTTGGCCCCCTAAAGTGCTGGGATTACAGGCGTGCACCACCACACCTGGCCTCTGCTCTCACTTTATAATGATTAGCTAGTAGAGCTGCAGTCAGATTTAATGTTTGTGTATGTAGCTGGTGAAGAGTCTCTTTGTCCAACAGCACAGATTACACTCCTTTCCCGATTCCCTACTTTGAACTCTTAGAACTTCTACATTTATCCTTGCATTGTACAATCATAATGAATATTTACTGAGCACTAACAGAAACTGTTAGGTACTGAACACAGTAAATAAAATGGACTCAGCCCATAGAAGAATAAGAGCAAGATAGGTAAAATAATAAACAACATGAACTATGAGGTGCTACAGACCTTGGAAAGCTGGACAAGGCTTCAAGTGAGGTGGTGATATGTGAGTTAGGTAGGAACTGTATCAACACCTATGTGTTAAACAGCCCTGTGTCCCCCAGCAATCAGCTGAAGTTCAACAAATACATTATAAATTTGATAAAGTAGAGAAAGCCTACTCAGCCCCCTCAGCATTTCTTGGAGGGAGGGGAGATGATAAGTGAATCCAGTCTGGCAAAGGCAGTTTCAGAGACTGACACTGTACCTGGCTACGTACAGTATTGCTCAGGTGGTTGTCCTCGGACATCTGTGCATTCTGGAAATAGGACAATGGTGCAGGTAACTCTGTCATTGGAGCAACCGTATAGAAATACTTTTTCACAGAAAACAAAGCCTCTTGAGGTTCTGAAATGGGAAAGAAAAACAGAACTGTCTGCACTATAATTATACTGTTTTAAAAAACACTTTCATAGATTACATTAAGCAGAAACAAACCTTTCTTTCATGTGTTCTCCTCCAGGCCAAGCTGTCTTAAGGACCTCAAGGGCTGTTGTCACTTGCAGGCTCCCAGATTGGGTCTGAAATAGGATTTTACCATGTCATCCATTGTTAGTTAAATCCTAGTAAATTCATTTAAACCAATCAAATACTTATAAGACCAATTTGCAAACCAGGAATGTATTAATTTGCCATGACCTTCAACTAACTGACAAATTTACTATAAGTTCAAGGTAGACCTCTTTAGCAGTAAGTAGAACCGCTTGAGACACCAAATATTTTCAACCACAAAGATACTTAATGACTTCATATTTACAGCAAAGGGAGCTGAGTAATCTTAAGGAATGTTCTCCTCAACATTCCTTTTTCTGTGCTGACCAATTCAACCTAATCTTTATATTTTTGTAAAATCATCTCTCTAGCACTTTTAATTTTGCAAAATTCTATAATCTCATCTTATCCTTATCACAATGCCCCAAGGCAGTGTGAATAGGTAACATGCTTATTTTACAAAAGGAGAAGGGGATCCAGAGAAGTTCAGTGACTTGTTTAACATGACACAACTGGGTAGGCCTGGCAAGAACTGCATACTCAGCCGGGGCGCAGTGGCTCTCACCTGTAATCCCAGCACTTGGGGAGGCCGAGGCAGGCAGATCACTTGAGGTCAGGAGTTCTAGACCAGCCTAACATGGTGACGCCCCATCTCTACTAAAAATATAAAAATTAGCCAGGCGTGGTGGCACACGCCTATAATTCCAGCTACTCAGAGGCTGAGGCAGGAGAATCGCTTGAACCCAGGAGGCGGAGGTTGTGGTAAGCCGAGATTGCGCCACTGCACTCCAGCCCAGGAAACAGAGGGAGACTCCATCTCAAATAAAAAAAAAAAGAGAGAATCGCAAACTCCGGACTCCCAGTCTCAGCCCTCTCCTTTGATCTTGGCAGAGCCTTATTTACAGGGATGACTGGGTCTCTCAGAGTTCACCCTCCTGGGGGCCACATTCCCATTTGCCTGCTTATCTTAATTTCCATCAGCCAATTCTTTATGATTTCAATTTTTCCCTTTCAGAGAAAGTCTTCAAATATAGAAGGGAAAAATATGTGTACATACCTAATGCTGATTTACAGTATCTAAAACATTACCATATACACATTTACATAAAAACATTTTCTCAATGTCCTATTTCATTTTCACTTTTAACATCAGGATCCTCTTTCCTCTAAATATTCTTTTTTTTTTTTTTTTTTTTTTTTT